TAAGTTCCTCGATAGATATGAATCTGTAAAATTTTATGAACGCTTGAAATTGTTTGTAGAATATCTCCTGATAAAAGTACATGACATTTATTCTTTAACTATGATAATCAGATCAAGAAGGATGAGATTGGTGGGGCACGTAGCATGGCAGAGATAAAAAGCACATACAGGATTTAGTTCAGAAGCACTGATTGGACAAGACTGAAGACATGAAGAGGAGGATAATATTAAAATGAATTATGAAACACTGAAAGGAAGAGGAACCTGGATTGATACGGCTCACAACCGACACCACTTGTGGTCTCTCGTGATTCTTACGGTAACAATAGCAACTGAAATCCTTGACAAAAGGATGGATAATTTTCAAAATCTGACATGTCTCATTCCCGATAGCCAAAGCCGTTGAAAACAACACACTAAAATTTCATCTTCTTTGGAAGCAAAACTTATTCTCTAACTCGGATATAAGAACAAATTTTGGGAGCAATTGGTAAAGAGCGCTGAGCAGAATATCTACATTTCTAAAGAGATATGCAGTCAAATGGTAAATGAGAGGATTTCATATTGAGGAAGTTTATAGTATGCGCTCTTCAACTTAGTAAATACACGCAATAAAAGCATACGTACTTTCTTTGCGCAGTTTCTTGATCTCACTCCCCATCCATGAACACATTGCTTGTAACGCCTTAATCAAATCTGTCTGGATATAAATCGTGCCCTCATGCTTCTTCACAACCGATTTCTGAAATCTCAATTCGTTCTGCAGATCCATTTCTGAAACATTTTAAGACAAAGTAAAACAGTCTGCTAAATTCCTTGCATGACAGAATTTCAAGAAACCACGCGCTACAGCACACAGTCTACATAGCTAAAATTTAAACAAAGGATTTAAATAAAGTGAGTAATAAACACAGAGCGTCTTCAGAATATGAAAGTAAAACATCTTCTTCTTCTCTGAAAGCAGAACTTTATCTGTAACTAACTAAAGGGAGGCGAACAAATTTTGAACAAAATTCCAAGCAAAATATCTGCGCTTCTGAAGAGACATGCAGTTACATGGTAATTGACAAAATTTCATACTAAGAAGTGTCTGCACTATTCAACTTAAAACATAAATAGAATAAAAGCATGCATACCCTCTGTCTGCGGTTTGCTGTTCTCTCTCGCCCGCTCTTTCTCCTGCATCTGGAAATGAAGTGCGTCCCCATTCTTCTTCGCAATAAATTTATGGTGTCTGAGTTCATTCCGCAGCTCTGTCACTGTAACATTTTGTGACTACATTAGATCATCTTCTTAGTCTTTTGTAGCTCGAGTTAAGATTATAACTACGGCTTCCAGGAATAAGTCTTGACAAATATCGAGAATGATCCCGCGTTACAGCTGACAATGGAACTACTTCTTTCAGGGTGGCAATGGCAACTTAAATATCTGCCAAAATCTTGGATAAGTTTTAAAATTTGACAAGATTCATCCCCGAGAGCCATAGTTGTTCAAAATATGACAATAAAATCTGTTCTACTGTAGAGCAAAGCTTCATCTTGAACCCACTAGTTAGGAATTTTTTTTTTAAGATAACTGGAACAAACTGCCAAGCAGAATATCTGCACTTCTGAAGAGACAAGTAGTTAATATGGTAATTGACAACATTTCATACCGCGGAAGTATATAATCTGTACTCTTCAACTTTGGACATAAACAGAATAAAACCATACATACTCTCTGTCTGCAGTTTGCTGTTCTCTCTCGCCTGCTCTGACAACATTTCTCGTAATTTCTCATTCTCCTGTGTCTGAAATCGAAGTGTGTCTCCATTCTTCTTCGCACTAAATTTATGGCATCTCACTTTATTCCGCAGCTCTGTATCTGTAACATTTTATGACCACGTCAAATTGTGAAATTCCTCCTGTGAGGGTATTTCAGGAAATAAGAAATCAAGCATTACAGTTAAAAGCAAAATTTATACACAGCTATTTGAGTCCACTAGTGAATCATACGAATTTCTGAACCATTGTGTGGCAAACAAGCAGTGGCTTCTCCAATTACAGCACGTGACATCATACTAAAAACATGTCTCCGAGACAGATAAAAACAACTTGGATGATGTGTGTGTCGAGAAGGCAGCATGCATGAGCCAGGTGAGAAATTCATTACGAAAATTATATTGGAATAATGTATGGGAAATATCACTTTCATGGGCTTGTAATGACACTGTTCGCCGCCAGGGGCAATATGAGAGAAAATGGCTGCCATCGAAGACAGGGGAGCCTTTTGTGTGCTAGATTTCCACGTTCACCGGTCTGTTATTAGTGTGCAATGGCGTTTCTGAACCAAGTTTATGGCAGATCGACCCAGTGGGCATACAATTCGTAAGTGGTATTCCGAATTTAAGAAATGGGAGAGATGTAAGAGAA